AAGTGACAGTATAGAGCGTGACATTCGCGAAATTGGAATGGAAGACAGAAGATTTACTTTAAATTAAGAGAAAATTACTTTGAAGAATGATTTTGGTGTATTTATTATCGAGATTACACCGCGCATTCACGTCAGCAGTGGCTTTCAATTCTGACCACATGAAGCGCTGCAGTTTCACTCGACAAAAAGTGTGCAAATTGATTTGCAGTCGACTGTACCTTGCAAATGGTAGAGAGATGACTTGACTTTAGTTCACTAACCATCGCAATTGCATTGAATCTCACGTGTGTTCGCGCACGATAGCGACGTAGGATCGATGCGCTTTGATCCCACGTAATCATCATTTACTCGTCAACGCGACTTGATCGCAGTCGATGAATTAAGTCAATGGATAACTCCTAAGTTAAATAGGTACACACGAAAACAAGCTCCATAAGTAAAAACGAATAGAAATATGGACTATATAATGTGAACTCTCTCAGCTAGGCGGGGTCAGTCTTGATTTGAAAGCCAATATAGATTATGGGGCAATTAAGAGGATCAAAGGGACCTGGTCCTGGCGTGGAGGCACCTTAGCGAGGGAATGCTAAGTGGTGCATAAGCATTGTGATACAGTTTGCAACTGTCAAGTTCAGTCAAACTTAGTTTGATTGAAAATTTTTATTGATAATTCCGTCCTTTTCGCTATAAAAGACCAACGTTCTTGGAGAACTTACAAATCAACTTCTCAATCATTGGCGAGACAACAGTCTGTTCTTTTTAGCTGAACTGTTTGGTGTAATAAGTTAAAGCCAGACAAATGTATTTTGTTTCATTCTAACTTATTGCACAAGTTCAGGCAGTTCGGCTAAAAAGAACGGATCTAATCTTAAAGAGAATTCACACCTTGGCAGAAAAGTAGAAAACAGGAGGGCAGAGGGCAATCAATACTCGCGCTGGTGGCGGTCAGGTGGTGGTCGACAGGTTTCTACTTTCCTGCCAGCGAGTAATGGTTTCTTAATGGTTTCTGCCTCTCTGCGTTTTACTTTGCTGCCAAGGTGTGAATTCTCCCTATACGCGTTCGACTTCGCGAGGGCGAACCTTGCGGAAGAGCGACGTGTTGTGCGCGATCGTCTCCCGGGTGGTGGTCATCGGCTGGACGAGTCGACGGCGCGAATAGTGGACGAGCGAAATCCTCGCGCCGATTTTCCCGGGTCCGATCCGACCGAGCACGAGTGCGTTTCTCCGCGTGTGACTTCAACGTGCGCAACAGCGATCAGGCATGCACGACGACAACGACGGTTGCCGATGGGAGAGTGACGGGCGCGGGTGGGCGAGCAGAAAGGACATTATCCAAGGACTCGTATAATGTCCGCTCCTACCTATTTTCGCGGCCGCGGCGGAAAAGCGCAGTTAAGCCGCGCCATTACACCGGTAATAAGAGCCGCTCGGAAATTAGGATTACGAGAGCACGTAGAATAAATAATAGCAGCGCTGAAATCTTTCGTCGGCTACGCAAACATTCGCGGATTGCACAATGCAAGACGCGGCACGAGACGAATATTGCGAATGGACGGTGTGTTCCTCGGAAGACGACGCTCGTTTAACGTTGTCACTGGCTCATAACGCCTAATCACGGGTTCCTCTCCCCGCGGCTTCGCCGGTTTCCGAGAAGACCATTTTTCCTTCCGTCGTGCCGTGCCGTTGGTGATTACGCCGCGATGGCGCACTGTGCACCGTGCCATTACGTCCTCCCGGCCGCGAATATTCTGCGTGTCTCTCTCTCTCTCCCTTCCTCCCTCTCTCTCTTTCTTTCTTTCTCTTTCTTTTCGGCGACGCTCGCGACGCGAAGCTTCCGAATCTCGGGCCGAGCAACAAGTACATCTGTCACTTATGAGCGAACGAATTAGTGAATCAAATTCAAGCCGGGAAGGATAATGAGATGGATCAAGAAACGTAACCTTAACACGCGCGCTCTCAACGTCACACGCGTGTGACGTAATGATCTCTCATGGACTAACGTAGCATATGTGCGACGAGAAACATTTTCTTCTATGTTCACATGTTCAGAAACCAAACTGTGTTCCACACAATTATGTAGGGAGAAACTAAAATACAAAGTGGTTTAGGAGGAGCGGTTCAAATAAACTGTGGTAATGAACGTATGAACCCTTGAGTGGACACGCCGGGCTCAAAATAAACCCCCAGATGCATAAACAAACGAATTACGTGAAGGGACGTTTTTCAAGCGTAGACTCTTAACTTGCGACGTGCGCGCGCGCACTGGAAAATTACCGTTTTATATTTGTAACATATCTTAGTCTACGACTACTTTTATAGACGGAAGTAAAAGATTGTGTTTACGGAGCAAATTGAAGTAAATTGAAGCGAGGGTCAAACTGGCCCAGACACGTAAACAAAGTGGAGTGTTTCTCCAGATCACATTACGTGAAGAAGTATTTCTCGAGTGGACTTTGAACGTCTGATGCACGCTGAGGAGTTACTATTTTATGTTTAAAACATATCTTGGTTTACAATGACTTGTAGATAAGACTAGAAGATTATGTTTTCCGTTGCGAAAAGAAAGAGAAATAGCGAATTTTTGCGTCGCAAACGCGAAAGGTTATTACAAATTATGGCATTTTAATTTAGTCGTTACGATTTTTTAAAGAGAATAGTAGAGATATCCGGAATTATTCTGACGCGAATGGTTATCTCGCGTTGGAAAAAAATAAGTTGATACATTTATTTATAGTTAAAAATTATGTTTACTAAGCAAATTTAAATTTCAATGTGAGTCAACTGACTCCCACGCGAATATTAACATGAAAAAAGTGACGCGCCCATTTAAGCTCAATCTTCTCACGTGGAATTGATTTCTTTCACCTTTGATCCATCATTTTTTCGGCGACGATTTCCGATTTTTAGACTCATTTTCTAGTAAATGTGCGTGTGGAATGAAATTAAGACGGATCTCTCTCGTGTTTTGTGTTTCGTGCTGATGACGCGAAAATCGGCGAGCAGTCGATTGCAATTCTACCAAATGACTTGCATTGATTTCAATTGCCATCAATATTATTTCTCATGAGACAACAGATGCAAAGTAAAATACGTGTTTCTCGCTCTTGAGACTCATCGCGTGGTACACGAAGGAGTGAATTCTTTTCCCCTCGTCGCCGTTACGTCGCGGCTCAACACGTGCACGGGAAGTTTCCCAGCTCGCGACAACGTTCTGGCGCAGCTTTAATAAGCGCAGCGTTAATTCGAACGAGTACCAGTCTCACAACCATTATTTTATCGCGATCCGTGCCGCGCTGCGTGTTACGTAAATCACGATGATCCTTCGTGATTCGCCGTCGGAGTGCTCGTCGCGCGCACCTTCCTTTTAATCACGTCTTGGAACTTTTGAGTAAAGTCCCCGAGTGCCGTGATTAACCGTGATTAACCGTTTCCGTCTTCGTGCGTCTCCGTAACCTCGCGCTCTCTCGAGGTTGCTCCGCCAATCGAACGCGAGTCTATCGATCGCGCTATCGTGCCGGACTCTCGCCGAGCAAAATATCGATCGTAAGTTCTCGCGCTGCTGCGCCTCCTTCTCTTCCTCCTCCTCCTCCATCTCCTCCTCCTTATCCTCCTTCTTCTCCACCTCCCTCATCGCCACCCCTCTTTCTCGAGCACGCGCAAGCGTTTGCCGCTCTAATTACGCGCCGCCTAATTACGCTTTGCTTTTTACGGCGGAGGAGGTGTGTATGTGGGGAGGTGTACACACACACATATATATATATATATAACCATGTATATGTGCTCTGATCTCGATCGCGCGCGGATAGCGCAGAATGACTCCGCGTATTTCCGTTCGCGTTGCGACGCGCGCGCGAAACGAAAGGCCGGCCGCGACGCCAATGACGCCGGAAACGCGACGCGCCGCCGGAAAGCGCGTTTCACCTCGAACTAGACACGTCTCATGCTGCGACATTCAATGAGCGACATATCAAGCGACCGTGAATAACACGGCTCCGTGCAGCCTATTAATAACGAATATCATTAGTCTTATCTGTTATGGGAAATACGATTAAACGGCTTTTATGTAAAAGACACATCTGTCTCTTTCTCTCTGTGTAAGAACGCAGGGGACAAAATTACTGGGATTATTGGTCAAGCTCTAGAAGAAGGAGTGCGGTGACATGTCTTGCATATAAGTGAGCACGATTTATATGGCGAAGTTCTTTTATGTAAAGGCCGTTCGAATGAGAAAACTGAATAAGTGCACGGAGAAAAAACAGATATGGCATACACAACCAGAAAATATGGCAACCAGAAGTATTTAGTGAATAGTTACAACATTCTTACACTACCAGAAATCGGTTGGACTGACCTTCACCTTCATCATGCATTCTTGATTGAAGCGACCAGAGATATCGTCACGGCTGCAACGTCAATAGTTCAGCAATTGCGTTGTGGTCGCAGTAACCACATAATTAGTTCCGCATTTTACTACCGTATCTGCTCGGCACAACCAGATTTACATGTGGGCCAGTCATACTGTTCTTTTTCCGTGTGGCTGTACGCCGTGCGGGATGTCTATCGAGCGAGCTTTTCGAGATTTCCCCGAAAATATCCGCGACATTATCAACGAAATTCCGGAAGCGCCGACGTGCTTCCCTCGCTCGCGCGACTCGATCCTTTCGCGTGTGTGCGAGAGAAGAGAACGGTTAATTGCATCAAAATTCTAAAGCATTTCCTTCGGAATTTCGAGTGACTCCGTTCAATCTCGTCGAGAAGGAGAGATAGACTGAGACCGATCTTTCTTTTTGCGCGCGGAATTAATGCAACTGCAATGTCGGCGACGTCAAAGGGAAGGAGAAGTTAGCCGGGGGTGTATATTCCTATTCGGTTATACGTTTTAAAATGAAAATCCAGCCCCGACGTGGTAGACATCCCGAGCGGGCGCGGCGCGCGACCGCGCGTTTAATTACTCCGGGGGAGCGCGCGACGACTCTATCTAATCCTGTGCTCTATTGCAGACCTAGGGAGCCCGTTCTTCCCCGGTGGTCCTGAGTTGTGGCATCATCCTTTGGCGTACTCTACGGCCGGCGAATTACCGGGCACGCTGCAACATGCGACGCTGGTGCATCCGGCGTTACATCCTCAGGTCCCCGTACGTTCCTATCTTTGACTATCTGCAGACAAAGCTCTGGAGCCGCCGACGAGCGCCCCGATGCACGTTAGTGATACACATGATCGTTTACATATTCGATTATTATACTCATACGGTAAAAAAAAAGACGCGGGAGATCCGCGAGGACTCAAGGAGCCCGACGAGACCGCCTTGGGTCCTCGGCTCCTGGTTCTCATCAGATCTTCGGATCTTCACAGCGTTTAGAGTCTCTTTCGATCTGAGTCCGTCGGATTCCCGCGGGAATCTCGCGGAGGAGCATTCCTGATGCCGCGTGGATTCTCAGATCAACTCTCCACATTCCTTGGCAGTGGAATCTCACTCAAAATTAACGACGAGTGGCAATATTTCAGTTTAAAGCGATAGTGGAGATACTGACACTCGAAATCGCAAGAGTGGACGTTTTCATACGAACTTAGCGAGCGTATTTTTTAGCCGATTAAAGTGAATATCTTTTTATTGTAAGTGACGATCGAGTACAAGTCAAATTCACTCTTTGCTTTCGAGGAAAAATATTCACTCGATGATTCAAAGTGGAGAATACACTCTATGTGAGTGAAGAATCATTCGAATTCGAATTGGACAGTTATTTCATTTTTTCAGTGAAATTTCATTCAAAGAAATTTAGACAATACTACATTTCATTTGGAAACAAATGAGAAGTGAAAGCGTTTTCGCTATAATGAAAATACTGCTGCTCGAAACCGTAAAAAGGGATGTTTTCACTCAAGCTTAGAGCGGATTTTGATTGCATTGGAGTGAATTTTGCATCCGATCAAAGTAAATATTTTTTTTGTGATGGTTGGATAAACAATTCAAATCCACTCTTAAATTTCGAATAAAAATATTCACTTGACGATTAAGAATGGAGAATTCACTTTGTATGGGTGAAAAGTCACTCAAGTTTGAGTGCGTCGACAGCCCGATCTCACGTTTCGAGTGAAATTCTACTCCAAGAAGTTTAGAGAGTACGACGTTTTTGAGGACCCTCGCTGATTTTCGGTTGACTTTAGAGAAATATTTTGTGAGGTGTTCGGTAATTTAAGAGTGCACGTGTGTTTTTATTCAAGCGAGTTTCACACAATTGGAAGTATGTGTAATTATCGATCTAATTAGATTCTCTTAATATTTATTTTAATTTATTTTCTATCTAACTCTCTATTCTTTAATTTTAGATCTGTCGGCAATTAATTATCCATTTCTAGAACTGTTCAAGTAAATTCGTGTACAATTAAGATTTCTTTGTCCGTTTGGCGCGGCAAGAGAAAAAAGTAATCGAATTAATGAGACTTTGCTGGAACGAAGAAAGTTCGTTCGAGCAAACGTTTATACATATATGAATTGATTATATATGAGTTATATGTATCAATTGATACAACGACCGCGATTTGGTAACAGCAATCGTATCAACGCAATTTATCATCGCACTAACGCGGAATTTGTTCAATAGACATGATACTTCTTCGATTGCTGATTTTGTCAATTCAATAGCTTCTTTTCCCAGTGTGATCGCGCGAAAATCGGTTTCCCCCGCGAAACTTGAGTCCCAGTAAAATGAAAAGCAAAAATTTAAAATTAAAATCATCAAAGCGCTAAAATGCAAACCTGACTGTTGTGCACAGGAAAAAAGAATATTTTTGTTTGGAGAATCTTTATTGTTGACATTTCAAAAATAAGATCAATGTGTGTTAAAATGAGATTATATAGCGTTATAACTAAAATAAATTAGTCTTTAATCAAGACGAATATAGTCAAATTAACATAATTATTTTCTCGTATATAACCAACAATATTGATATTCTTGCTTATGCAGGGTGTCTGATAATTCACAGAGGAGCCGCGATGTGAAAGTAGATTAGGTCAAACTGAACAAAAAACTTCTTTACTACTTTGCGAACAACTACATAAAATTTTGAATTATCCAAGATCTTCGTTCAACGCCATATAATTTCATTTTAACATGAATCTTATTTTTAAAATGTCAGCAATAAAGATTTCTCCAAACAAGAATATTCTTCTTCTTTTTTCTGCGTGCGTCTGCGCTCTGTAAATCGATACGTGCGACTCGAGTCGCGCAATCCTTCTCGCAGGAACCGCCTGATCGCGAGGGTTCGCGTGTCACGCGAGCTTCGAGTCGTCGGGGTCTCGAAACTATCGCGATGCTTCCTGAGTTTGTCGCGACATGGATTAATTACGGAGGCCGCCAGGGACCGACGTTAATAAAACCGCGGCTTACTTTTTCCGGGCGCACGACACCGGGCAGTCTACGGTCGCTGTGCTCTGTACTTTATTTCCGTGTGAGCCGGGAGAAAGAGAGTGAGAGAGAGAGAGAGAGAGAGAAACAGAGTAAGTTAGGGGGAGAGAGGGAGAGAGAGAGAGAGAGAGAGAGAGAGAGAGAGGGAGAAGGGGAGAGCATTTAAAACTTTTTCGTGGATGTTGCGCTGATGATATCTAAAGGCGGCGTTAAAAGACAGTTACCTCGTCGTTATTAATGAAGACGGATGAAGAGTAAGGCGCGTCCATAAATAACACTGATAAGCCATGCATTAGATAATTAGCGGCGGTAATTTAGAAACCCGTGAAGAATTACGCCGTGGGATGTAGAACATGTCTCTTCCTCCTTCTCGTCTTTTTCCTTCTCTTTTTTTACACACACGAAGAGACGACGAATGAAGGCGCGTTGGCTGCTCCCTTGAAAGTCTCACTTCGCGTTTCCCCATCGGGCTCGTTATATTATAATCCCGTTTTTATTTACGTGTTCCGCGCGCCGCTGCGTGACAAGATGAATGTCGTTCTGAGCGACGGTGAGTTTTGGGGTGGATCTTCGTCGAGGCTAAAGAGCGAGCCGGGCATATTTGATTTATCAACGAATCGATAGACAGATCCACGATGCATTAATAACGACGAGGTAACTGTCTTTTAAAGCCGCCTTTAGATATCATCAGCGCAACTTCCACGAAAAAGTGTTAAATGTTCTCCCCCTTCTCTCTCTCGCTCTTTCCCTCCCTCTAACTCACGTTCTCTCTCTTTCTCTCATATTCTTCCTCACTCTCTTTCTCCCGGCTCGCACGGAAATAAAGTACAGAGCGCAGCGACCGTAGACGGCCGGATGACAGATCCAGAGTTGCACGAGAGACAGATCCGAGGAGCGCTCGAACGCGGGTTATCGAAGCTCGAAGAATCGGGGAAGTTTCTGGCCGCGAGTGTACCCTCAACCCCTTTAAGGTATCGGTGGTACGAACGGGTACCGATTCCGCGCGGCTCTATTGATTTTTAATATCGCATAGGCTTGTGCCAGGTTCACACGGGTACCCCGTCACGCATTATGCAGCGGGGCCATAGCTTGGTCGCGCGAACACCTCACCGGCGATTTTTATGAGGATAAATAGCGGTATAGTCACGGGCGCGAACGCCGATACAATCTGTGTGCCCTTATCGATCCCCTTTGCACGTGGCATTACGCGATGTCTTTTACGCTGTCTGATAGCGGGTCAATATTATTCCGCCGCGCGTCATCGCGCGTCCCGTGAGTAATCGCGATAAGACGCCTCTGCGAATGTACTTTCATGTTCACGAGCTATTGGGTCCTCGCGAGCTTCGGCATAGCCGAGGATTCTCCTCGCGTAGCATCGACTCCCAGCATTTCTCGACTCCCGTGGATTTAGAATGTCGAGTTCGCGGAGATATCGCACTGAGAGAGGAAGTTTTGCTAATTCAACGTGGTATACCGGCACTCGCGACAAATGGTTTGTTGATATGGGACAACGAACGACCCCGTAGTGGGAACGAATGATTTGTTACTCTCAACTTGCTGCTCTAAGTAATGCTTCTGTAATGGAGACATAATTAACCTAACCTAAATAGACGAGAGAACAAATATGATTTGTATCTCGAGCAGTGTATGTTTCTTAAGGGGATGCTGAAGCTGAAAACTTTACCGACAGAATACCGACATTTGTTTGCAAAGTTTACGTCGTACTAGTACAGAATTACAAATGCTGCTACGCAATGAAAGTACGTGCAGAAATATATAGAAGCATTGCTTAATATGTGACGAAAACGAAACAAAATTTTTAATGTAAAATTTCAAGCTGTCAGCGTAATATTTATCTAATTCAAAAGTTCCGCGGCTTGTACGTATCGAAAGTGTGAATGTTCCAAATAGAATAATTTTAAAGAACATTGCTGTACCTTCGCATCTGAATTCAGAAGCTTAAGAATATCGGAAAAGTTTGCAGAAACATTTATACACGTGGTTAGGTTACTCGTTGAATATGGCAAAACAAAGCAATTCACATTTACGTAAAATCTGTATATAAAAAATACGAAAAGGATAGCGCAACTGTGTTAGTAACGATCGTTACTAATGTGTTAGTCACGATCGTTTCTGCGTTGTCGACATTGTTCGAACTCGTCATCGACTTTAGCATTCCCTTAAAAGTGCTAATGATGAGAAATTATTTGCAACGGTAACGGTTCGATCTTTGTTCCTCTAATACGATCATCAAACAGCTTTTGTTCTGATAGTTGAGGGATTTTTTCAGTGCGGCGTTGTTGAATCATATTTCTTCGTATGTCTAACTTAACTCTCCGCGTGTGTGTAGTCACATTCTTTAGGACATAAAGTACACTGAGAAAAAAATACTTGAACATTTATTTTGGGATGTACAATTTATTTCTGCGAATAAACTTTATATCTCGCAGATACATTCTCTAGCACTTCTTTCTCAGCGTACAATCTGAGTTCTGTCAGACCCGTGCAACTTTGAACTAGCATAACTTTGATGGAAATCTATATTTTGGGCATTTTCTGTTTCTAGAAATGTAGAAATATAGAAAAGTCTCAGCTATGAGAAAGTAATACGATAAAATCAAAACTTGCAAACAGATTTGCACAGCTTTGAAATAAATGGAGAGATTGTTTAAGATGGTGAATGATCGAATATATTTATTCGGGCCTCACAGATCCAACATTGCACGCGGAAGGTTAATTTTTTATCGTGGTTGGATTTTATTGTTATAAGTTACTATATTGTATAGTTTACCTATAAGTTATTTATAATAACTATTATCATCACAAGTAAAATAGATTTTCTTACACTCATTATCTCCTCTTCTTTTTAACTTAATTTATATTAATTGATTTTTAACTTAATTTATATTTTCTTTTCAACTTAATTCATAAATTCTTTTTTAAGTAGTTTTATTTTTTATACTAAAATCTTTTATACTGAACTTATAATGAAATTTATATAATTGTCAGATTTTGCTATATTGGAAATGACGTTGGCCTCGAATCCGCGACTCTTAAAGCTATCGAATATATTCGGGCAAAAATTCCCAGCTCAATATATTATTTAACAGTTGAATTCACATCGTTCCACTATTATAGAACGTTCAATACTCACGATTCCATGAGCTGCTCACTTTTTGATACGTCCCATGCCGGCGCCTATGAATCTTCGCGGCAATAACCCGTAGCACTAAAGAGTGTGCCCGGTTTTCGCGTGTAAGAGATAAATCGCAACCTTAAGGGCATGTTTCGCAAGCGCCGATATCCGATAGGAAGGGAGAGGAGCACGCGGTATCGTTATTTCGACGGGAATATCGGTCGAGCGAGAGGAAAATTCGAAAGAGCCGCGCTGCGGCGAGAAAATGTCCAGGAAATGATTGGGCTCTCTGGTGGTAAGCCAATTTTGCAGCTCGCGCGAAATCTCGAACACAAATCATCCCTATTACTAAAATCGAGAGGATTCCCGATATTCCGCGAATTTATCCGCGGCCGGAGACGGCGGGAGCACGGGCGGGACGAGGAGGACGAGGAGGGCGAGAGCGAGAGGAAATCCGTTGCATCGAGCGTTTGATAAATCGAAGGCTCTCGAGCCGGGACTGCCGGCTGTTATCTCCTTTTCCTCCGTACGCAACTCTCGCCGTTTCTTTAACGGAAGTAAAAGGGGAGCGGTAGTGCCTCGAGCTATATCCCACTCGAGGGATAACGAGCCGGCGAGAGCCGGTAGCAATAACGTCGGGGCTTATTAAGTCGAATATCCCACTCGCGGCCTGAGTCGATTAAACGCGACTCTCCAGCGACTCGGCCGGATCTGTCGAGACCTGTCGTCGCTTTGACGAATTAATGGATACTCGAACGGCACAAATAATACCTCGCAATTTCTCGTGTTCTGTTCGTATTACATTCGCCACGGAACGTCTTTGCGCGAGAAATCCACCGCGTTTCCTCGTAAGCGCGTTACGCAAATCGCCGCGGCGGCTAGTCAGTCGCAATTAAGCGCGCTATTTCCAGCCTATTAATAGGACACATTGTGAGGCGCGAGCACGTGAAGGAACGGTTTCAGGAATGCGATTAGTCGCTACGCGAGTCGTCTTGAGGACGAGCAAACCGCGGAGTTGTGTTCCCTCGCGTACTATTGAATAACGTTACGATCTGCGGTACTCGTGACGACGTAATGCCATCGTCTAAAAGGAACACCGGCGTTTCAGCACAAAGCGTTTCAGCAGATCCAGGTGAAGACAATTCCGTTGTCGGTTTTGTGACAACCAGGAAAAATCAATCGCGCACAAAATTGCAGACGTAATCGCGACGGTAATCGAGAGTCCCAAAAATTCATCCTCCGATGAAATGCCCTTCGTGACATTTTCCTCGGGCGTCTTTTGACGTATTTTCGCGTCGCTATACGCAAAACGACGCGATTGCATCGACGTCGTTCTCTCCAAATTTTTCCGAAGTGAAATCCCACTCAAAGCGTGCGAAAATTCACTCGAGGCGATAGCGAAGATACTGTTGCTTGGAAAGGGTAAATGTTTCACTCAAACCGCACACGGAGAAAATATAAGAAAAATTGCCGTGAAACTTTCATAATCTTGAACCATGCAGACATCCTGACTGAGTTTGCCGTATGTTTGCTGAAAAATGTTATGCATTCTCTAAAGTGCAATCGGTATATTCTTCGCTGACTATTCGCATTATTCGACGACTATTCGCGTGCAGGAAACAAATTTCAGTTCGTGTAACTGAGTGGGAACCAGACGAGAAACTCGTCGACGAGAAATAGTATTTCTGTTACTGTGACTGAAAATATTCGTTTGAACATTCAGCTGCGTTAAAACTCGGTTGAGGTAATTGAGAATAATTGACTGAGTAGTAACCTCCTGCAGGGATCTTCCTGTTCCTACAATCGAGTTTGTCATCTGGTTCTCAGATATTCCGTCTTATTTTCTGCTGATTTTGGTTAGTAGAAGATTTCATTGCAAAATTTGTTCCTTGTAAAAATTGTAATATATTAGTTATACCAAATGAAAATGTTAAATATGTCATTTTTGACGCACTGACGGATCCTACTGATCATTGAAAACTGTTTCTGAGGTCTTCTAGAAACAATTATTCGCCCACTAGGTTCGAGAAATGTCATAAAAAGCGTGATTTATCATTGACTGTTGAAATAGAACTTTGCCGAATCAGTTTTTTCTATTTTTTAACTATAAGATTATCCCGATTTTAATTAAACTCAAAGAAAACTATTTGTGTTCCAAAAGTATTATTTCGCGATTCGTATCCACCATTCCTCTCAAGATGAATACTAAAAAAAAAACACGGGAATAACACACCTCTGGGACCATATAGCCTCCTCTGCTGTGCAACAAGAACAATAAAACGAGTGAAAGTTGGTAGATTTCGAGCAGAGGCGGCAGTCGCTTCGCTTTCCGCGGGGAATTTCGCTCGCAAAAATTTAAAGAGATTTTCTCCGGTGCAGCGGATCGATCGAATTGACGGACGACCTTTAACGGGCGGTTTTTGTTGGCTGAATAGGCAGGATTTTATTTTTTTTCGAAGGAACGACGTGCGGCGGTCGGGTGGGACGGGGTAGGATCGTGACGCAAACGCGTCCGTCTATCTCCTACTCGCAGATAGACCGATTCACGGCCGACCGAGCGATGGAAGCGAGTCGAGTGATGATCAGAGTATGTATTTATATTTCCAGGCGCCTATGTCCCTGCCGCATCCTACGACGCTGACGTCGATACACGCGTCGCTGCCTCATTTTCTACCGTCGCCGGCACTGGCGTCACCGGTCGGGTCGCCCTCGTCGCAGCCGAACATAGCCGGCAACGCGCAGTGCTCCACCCTCTTCGTGGCGAACCTGGGCCAGTTCGTGTCCGAGCATGAGCTAAAGGACATCTTCAGCAGGTCAGACATCCCACAGCATCCCGCGGCGCGCCGCTTCGCGGCCGACGGCCTGCCGTTTGCGAGTTGGCCGGCCGGCCGAATTTTTTAATACGACACGCGGCTCGTTATCGACTCCGTGTATATTTTTAATGTATGTATCGCGCGGCCCACATGCGCGCGTGATTATCGAGATTTTAAGGACAGCTGCCAAGGGGCAGCCAGCATGCTACCTTGTTGTTAACCCGTGCGACCAGGAAGGGCGTAGGCGTCGTCGCAGAATCAATCGGCAGAAATAGCGCACGCGAGTCGCATGGAAGGGTGTGTCTACCTTCGCGAGAAGAGTCTCGCTCGTTTGCTACTTTCGCAGATTTCGTGGTCCTTCCTTCGCGTCTCTCTTATTTGCCCGGTGTGGCGGAGAAGTCAAAGTACAGAGATGTCGGGACGATAACTCCCTTTTTAGCGTTTTCTTCTTCTCAATAAACATTCAATTTCGCGATGTATTTCATAATTTGTCTCAATATTGTTACTCGTGGAAATAATTATTCTACATGGATCCTTGCGGGAATAATGTTGACAGATTATAACGCTGAGAGAAAACATGTGTAAGGAATAAGGAACATTGTTCTATCCGTGGGTATTAATAACATATTTATTCAAGCTGACACAAAATATTTTTCACTTGAGAATGAATATACATTTTCTTACGATCTCTTAGCTTTTCATGAGAGCAATTATTCATTCCAATTCAATAAAATTCAGATTTTAGTAAATATGCCATTAATACCCATTAAGAAAATATTTTTTTGTTTTTAGATACTTTTTAGATACTTTTTTCCTAAAGTTAGATTTTTATCGAGAAGAAGAGAAGAAATAGAAAATAATCATTTTCACATCTCTAATCTCCGACGATTTTGCCGAAATTCATACGCTGCTGAAGTCTCTAATGAGACCTCGATTTACGTCAGTCGCGCTTGTAACTTTGATATATGAGATGCTTGAAGGTCTTCTGACATATTATGCGCTTGTTGCAATCGAAAGATTGATACTGTTCCGACGGAGAGACAGATACGAGTCAAGCATGACGACAGCAATGATAACGATAGACTGCTTTGGCACGTCAAACGTACCTGTACACCTGCACGCACGCATGCAGGCGGTACATGTGCGTGCGAATTGCGATACGGGTACCGATACACGTGGGTCTTATCGTCACGTGGTGGCGTCGCGTCGCTGCGACATGTCGCCGAGCGTTCGCGATTACCGGCGGAGAACGACGCGGTTTACCGGAGAAAGGGACACCGGATATCGTCAGACGCTTCGTTCTACTCGAGCTGGATTCCGCAACCTTTAAATTCCTCGATTTCCTTATCGCGGAAAATCCAAAGATTGTTCGATCCTTGAACCTTCGACTGCGCGGATTCCCGAGTCATTACTTCTGCAAATATATGTTTATTGGATTTCTTGATATTTGCATTATCGATTCTGCATCACGGATTTCCAGTCACATTGATCTTCGGGTGGAATCGCGCACGTCAAGCTGGAAGTCTGTTTTCTAAATTGAAAAAAAATTGTAGACAATTTCCGTAATCCACCGTTTTGCGCCGTGAAATAGAAGAAACGGAAATCACGAAACAGAATCACGGAAAGTCTACCTGAGAAGCTGCTGCCAAATAACACCTGTCCATGCGGTCGAGTGAAGGAGCGGTTTTTGCGGAGACGCCGCGTGTCGTTACGTAATGACTGCGGCGTAAAGATTGCGACTCAGTCTTACGTTCAAGGATTCCTACGTCGGGCAAAGAACGCCGTGACGAAGTTCGAGATCGCGCGAGCGCGCATCGATAGGCGCACTTGTATCGGTTTACGCGACTTGAAATATTTCCGCGACGCGTGCACGCAAATTGATATGTTCTCAATGACATGCTGTTAATTATCGTTTACTCGCGTCGACCGCGATCGCGCGATTGGCACACACATACACACACACACACACACACACACACAAATACAAACTCCACATACAACATACACACACATGCACGAATACAACACACACAGAGCGTATTGTCGGCAGGTCGCAGGTCAGAGGGAATGCGAAACGCAAAATCGGCATCGTATGCAGCGACGAGAGCGCTAATTGCGAGCGAGAGATACTCGTAATTAGAGCGAGCGAGCGAGACACAAACGACGGAGTTAAAATATGTTATCCGGCTGTGCATTATGGCTGCGTTCGCGTAATAAATTATTTCCACGTGCCTCACCGTGCGGAACCTTCCCACGATCTTGAAGCGTACGTCTCGGATTACGCCTCGAACTACGCCGGGAATTGCGGCGGACTCCTTTCGATATCAGACGTCCACGTTGAATCGGTTTTACCACCATATCCGCCGCCGATATCCGCCGTTTCGCGCGGATCTGCACGTGGAGGTGTTACGGGAGAAGGGAAAAAACGAGGGGAGCGCGAATCAACCGCGGTGAAAGAGAGTCGTTCGTTAACGTGGCGGTTAATGGCGCGAGCCTCGTTTATACAGATCCGTGTAATAAGTTCGTCGGCGCGCTCGAGAACAGGGGGAGAGCGGCCGAGTGAATTAATTTGGGGAAACTACTCCGCGCAATTGTACACGCGCTGTCAGAGTAGTGCACGATTGGAGTAGTCGTCTCGGCATCTCTGGCGTCGACTACTATGGTCATCAGCCTGATTATTTGGGGTTTAAAAACGAACTTCGAGCTAACTGAATGCCTGCGACCGCGCAGAAAATTTCCTGGGATCCAACCCGGACCCGATTCCGCAAAATAATCGAATTGGTAATGTCTCAAATATGCGACTCTAAAGACCGTATTAATAGTTGTCGCTTGAAATTTGTCTCATGTGAAATACTCAGATTTTTATTCAGAGCTAGATCCCATAAATTAATTAATATAAATTTTTCAACTGAATTATATGATATACGTGACATTATATATATCTGTAATTACCTGAAAAACCTTCATCTAACTCTGAATTGAAATCTGAGTATCTTATTTAACAGGGATTTCAAGTAACGATTATTAATATGGATTTAAGGTTCATATCAATAGTTGTTACTTTAAACCAGTCTCAGGCGAGAGATTTGTGCTCAAAGTTGAATGAGAGTTTTCAGTTGAATCGTAACTAAAAATATAAATGTCTCATAATTCATCTGAAAAACTTGGATTTAACTCTGAATAAAAGTCTGAGTATCTCACATGAGACAAGTCTCAACTATTAATAAGGATCTCACAAGTAAATATAACCAAAAAGTATACTCCGATTTCTTTCTAATATGGCACAAATGTAGAAGTACAAAAAATATTTAGGTCATAGTTTTCATTTTGGCCTTTGAGTTTCACGGGTAGTTTATAGCTTTTTAATGTTCTCACTCCAATCATCAACAAGTACAACAAAAATGCATAAGAAATAAAATTGAATACAAGATATAGTTAAATAATTTTAACAAAATCGGCATAACTGAGATACGAACCATTCTAAATTTCTTTAACCGAGATTCCAACCGAAATATTTTAAATATGTCTTAAATTAGTTAAAAATAGTTCGAATCTCGGCCAAACCGAGAAATTATTTGTATAAATAATTTTTTTCAACTTTTTACATGTTTTGTTTAAACATTTTATTATTTATACAAATAATTTTACACATTTGACTTCAATCATTATTCAATTATTTATTCATAATCAGCAAACCAAAACGTCTGTATCTTTTATTCAATTTTATTTTTTATGTATTTTTATTTCTTATGTATTTTTGTTGCACTTGATGATAGGAGTAAGAACGTTAAAAAGCTATAAATTGTCCGTGCAACTCAAAGTGGGCCAACATAAAAAAACATGACCTAAATATTTTTTGTACTTCTATATTTGTACCAAATTAGAAAGAAATCGGAGTGTAACTTTTGGGTAGGTTTACTTGTCAGTAGGAAACCCAAAGTTTTCCCAATATTCTTTCGGATCTTCTTCTTTACATTATACGAATAGAGTAAAACACACATGTTGTCTTTTCAAATAACTTAATTCTTCAGTAAAATACACTCAAAGCGTTTTAAAAATATTTTCTTTTCTTGACTCTTTATTCTACTAAATATACAATTGATATAAAAATGGGTCTTTCTGTCAGCAACTGAAAAAAGCGCGAGTTCCCATAGTATATTTTTGTTTCGATTTTAGATAAAAAACCTATATTTGGATTATAGTGGGATAATTAATAATAGTATTGTTGTGGGATAATTAATTTTAGGATAAATTTGGGTATTCTAGTCGGGATCTATGCTTTGTATCTCTATCTCTTTCTATCTATCTCTCTCTATCTGTCTGGAAAAATCCTGGAAAATCTCTATGAGGGGAAAGAGATTCGCGCGTGTTCATTTTACGACTGCTCGGGCACATTGGAAGACCCCAACATTCTCGGTGACCCGCGGGTATCGGCAAGGGAGTTGATGAGAATCCGGGCGATTTCTCTCTAAATCATGTGATTTTTAATAATGTATGTAACTGGTTTCATGACGGTTCGCGAAAATCGTATCAATTTCTATGGATTAAGCGTCGAGAAATGCGAATTTAAAATAAGACGTAGATCTGACAGACCTGGCGCTCGATGAAAAGCACTCAAGTGAAGTTTTATTCAATTAGAAAGATAACTTAATCGCGCGACGGAAACTTTTTATCTTGCCGAATTTAACGCGTTGGCTGTGTTGCGATCACTAGATTTCCTATTCTCAAACTCGTCACCCGTCGATGATATCCACGCGAAAATACTTCGAATTGTATAATCGGCACTTAAATTCCCTTCAGCCTCTTCCGAAAAAAGTAAATTTTGCACTAAGATATATTCAGTAAAATGGATCCAATTCAATTTTAATGAGACAAGTTCTGAAAGTACCTCGGTTTACGATAGTTAATTTTCCTCCACTCCTTTAGAGTGCCTCTTGATTTACTCATATTAAACGCTACAATTATATATGCCGATAATTCAGACGGGGCCGACTTCTCCACCCGCGTAAGAATTGTTATTACACGTTGGTAACAATTTACGCGGCGCACAAACAGCGAGCGGCGCGCTCTACTCTTTCGAGTTTCGGCGTTGACGGAAGTCTGTGAGCGACTGTCTAGCAAGTTCCATTGCCAATAGAGAAACCCCTCCACCCCTCGTATAATTAGCCCGCGAAATCTCATTATCCCGCAAACCCCGGAGTTCTGCAGTATGAATTCGCAAGTGGGTGCCTGAGTTAATTACACGCGTTTGCACGTGCGAGAGGCGCGCCGCGCATTCTGCAATTTTCGGTAGCTCGCGGGAGAGTATCCGACGGAATTTCGTCGTCGTCGTCGTCGTCGTAGTCGTCGTAGTCGTCGTAGCTAGTCGTCGGCGACGACAACGTCGGCGTGAGTGCATTGCGCTTGTAATTCGACCATTGTTCTTGCACGGGTAATTATTACGCGTTGGTAGGTCTGAGCGAAGATACGTTTGCCGGAACAGAAAGAATAGAAATAAGCAGAAGCAAACAAGAAGGTTCCACGACGAGAAACTTCCACGAAGCTGGAACAGGTTCTCGTGTAGTGGTGTGCCCTAAAGACAGCGAGAATTTTACTTGTTGATATTATGTGAGCGCGCGTCATGAGAAAAAGTCGCGGAGAACTTGCGAGAGTTGAGAACGCGCGACTTTATTTCGTCCAGTCTTGCATTGGCCTCTTAATTTCAAGGCTTAGCAGGACAGAGGAGCTTACGAGTGCGCGGATCATTTGAAATCTTAACAAATGAAACGACTGACGATCTATGGTGCGAAATAACCGAGAGTCGAGTTTGAGAATTGAGTCCTTTTTTGCCAAATATATCATTTCAGATTTTCAAGTATGATGTCTCTTTAACAATAACTTAATTTAACTCAGCTAAATGGAAAAGTCAATAGTTTTGCGATACCAAGTACTATATATGTGTATAAACAAGGCTCTCAGGTATACAACCAAGTGAGAAAAGACGGCAAATAAGACGCAAATAAGATAATAACGCGGTTATTTGACGTTGATTGAAAGAGATGTATAATTTACTTTAATCCAATATCTTATAAACATTTGTGTTGCGAGGAATACAAGGAAAAACAAGTTTGATTGGATGACGAAATTTCTGGTAAAATATCAGAAATCCCGGCTGTGAAGCTATCAGAATTCCATTTAAGTTGACCAGATTTTTGAACATTAACACAATTCTGGTAACTTCAACCGGAATTTCGTAGTTCATTCATATTTCCTCCTGGCTGACGCAGTAGTATTTTTCACAACACTTGAATTAATATTAACATTGTAAGAGAATTATAAATCAAGAGCATAATTAAAGTTTGTCGAGAGTGTTATTAAAGGGGATGAATTGAAAATTCAAATAATTTGGGATGATAAAGAGTTGGTCTCTAACATGGAAGATTGTGATTCTCACCGCTTACGTCGTAAGCCCGAAAAATATGCAGCGCATGCATTTAAGACACTGTCAGACATTGTTGTTATCGTCCCATAAAAAGAAGAATCACGTCTTGGCAGAAAGCAGAAAAGCAAAAGCAACAACCGATCAGAACTCGCTCTTGTAGAAAAGCGAAAACAACTGACTGCTACCTGACCACCAGTGTGAGTTCTAATTGGCTTCTGTCTTTTTGCTTTCCTGTCAAGGTGTGAATCCTCCCTTAAAATTCAAATATTCGCACCAAGAACCGCGGCTAGCACTTATTTGTCGTCTTCTCTCATCAAGCATGAGCTTTGAATAGTGTCTCCACGCGCGAAACCACGCAGATCGAATTTGTGGGTCCGTGAAGCCACATATGCGCACAGTACATGCGTGTTCGCAGCATCCGCGCGCGTATGTGTGTGTATGTGTGCGTGTGGGTGTACCGATAGCACACTCGCAGAATCTCCGGATTTATGGGTCTGATTTGTGTTTATTCTCAGTGCGCGGCGCGCCACGGGCGGCTCGATAAAGCCTGTCTTAGGTCAATGACCCTAGTAATCGACGCTAAAGGGTAACGGGCAAACGAGAGGGAAGCATCAAGTAATGCTCGCACCCAAGTCCCGTCGTTCCGTTGACGATGACGACGGTGCCGGCGGGATGTCGTGGAAGTCGGTCGTGAACGCGCCGTAAGCTTTGTACTAACAGCACCGCCTCCAAACATCACCGACATCCGCTAATCATTTGCCACCGTCGTAGATCGTAGGCATATAGGACGCACCTGTACTAGTACCCGTACCAACGCCAATACTACCATGCGACCAGTGCCGTTTACTAACTGTCGGTGTGCCGAGGACGGGGTTGCACGCGGAGGGAGGTGACGATGTAAACGCGGTGGATCGACCTGATCGCGACCCGATCGCGAGGACTCGCGAGACGCCGCATCGCGACTTCGATATCGGCACGCGAATGATCTCGATGAATTTAGTATTTCGCGTTGAGCGAATACAACGTGTAATCCGAGAATAAATTCGACGAGGTTTTGACTGCTCGACTAAGGCTTGAAATGGGGATCGAAACGCGCCGAATCATTAATTTATTCAGTCGGTTAATATGTGAAGGACAATTTTAAAAGTAACTCTCTTCGCTTCCAAATTGACTGCTGAGCTTTTGAAAGACTAGTTTCATGTGAAATTCCAATAATAAGTTCATCATGTGTAGTGGAGCTTTATCTACTCCTCTCGCACCTTACGAATTCTGTCAATCATTTTCATCTGGAAGAGTGACGAGACAATTGTTCGCGCGCAATGTGTGTATTTGACATTTCGAATTTTTCAGGATGTGACGGGATGTCAGAGTGATATTTTTTAAAATTTGCGCAAGGCATAATCAATTCTGCAAAACAGAGTAACGAATTTTGCAAACGACCACTTAATTCTCGACGCGCGCTCGGCTGTACAACATAAACGTAACATTTTCGCAAACAATCCGCATGCTCGCACAGACACACACACACACACACACACACACATACACACACACACACACACACACGCACGCACACCCACAGTGTGCGCGCGACGAAGAAAATAATTAGCGCAGCTGTTAACGATCCGAATTCGATCCTGGCCTCGCGTCGCGTCCCCTGCGTGCAATCACCCTGTGTCGGCACTCCCTCGGCGTGATACCACCAACACACCATCAATGGCAAACCAAGCAGTGACCAAGAGCCCAGCCAACCCCTCTTAACCCCTGCCCCCGACCCCCGCCCCTCTGCCCCGCCGTCGAAACCCCTCTTTTACCAAAGTACTGTCTTAACAACTAACTAGAGCACGTATTGTACGCTTCTCTTATTTGTGCACAGTTTTCCTGGTTTCTCCCGGCTTCGTATGCACACGAAGGGAGGGTCGCCAGTGGCCTTTATCGAATACCACGACGTTCGCTACGCGGCCCAGGCGATGGCCACTCTCCAAGGATCCTTTCTCCTCTCCTCCGACCGGGGAGCGATACGAATCGAATATGCAAAGTCAAAAATGGCCGAGGTGGGCTTTACAAATATCTGGATCGAAGTAGGTTCCACTTTATGCTACGATAGACCGCTATGAAGGACGCGGGGGCGGCTCTACGTGCGAGGGGAGATACAGGCGGGAGAGATCCTCGTGAAGCCGCGTGAAGCCGATAAAGCTCGTTTCCTGGGGAAATTCAGTTCGCGACGATGCCTTCGGCGTAGAGTAGAATGGGAGAGTGACGGAAAAAGCGAGGAGAGACATTCCTCGCGCACGTGGCGCGCGCCAAGGGTGAAATCCAGACCGGGTAGAGAGCCCAGACGAGAGTGTTCATTGCGGTCAAGCGAGGAGCTTGCGTACTTGAAGCCTCCCGAACACACCCAGGGTTCTCGCTTACGTGTAAGCTCTCGGCACGAGTGTGTTTACCGTGGTCTAGCACGAGACCCTTTGCGCACATACACGCTCATACACCCGCATACATACACAAATACACACCCTGACATACACACACATACACACACGAGGCTCTGGGTGCTCATTGCTCAACGGTAGAGCCGCCTCTGCGAAGATATGATCGACGACGAACACGCGAGGCTGTGCTTTCATCGACGCTCCATATTCGATTGTTTCTCATTGACAACGGGAGCTTCACTGTTGGTGTTTGCAATGCTCCATCGGAAATGATTACTTAGCATTTCGCCGAGTACGGAACAGGTGGACGCGTAAGAGTGGAAAATGAAAATATCCAGCAACAAATTAATTCGGGAATATAATACCAGTTGAAACGCGAGTCTGCAGATTAAAATTTGCATGTGATCGCCGGTCCATGTGTGGATACGTATCTGTATACTTGTCTCACGATTGCGCTCTATGCCGTTCTATAATTATGTAATTGTGTATCTACGCTGTTACGTATCTCACGCACACAAAGTCCACCGCCTCGCGTCATTGACGTTTCGCCGGAGCATAGCCGCGCGTTTTCGTCCCGGGATCGAAGCCGGTACAACTTCGACGAGTTCTCTCGGCCACGGACGCGGGAAAAGAGAGAGCCCTTTATACACTTGTACGCGAACAAGGTGCGCAGGTGCGCAGGTGCGCAAGGCGCGTTCTTTCGCGCGTCCCGTGGCCGAGAGAGAATCGTCCTCGTTGAAATTACACGCGAATTCAAATCCTTGTTGTTGTCGTCGTGAGCGCCAGCTGGGACACGCCCGACCCGGCGGATCCTGGATCCAATTAATTCGGTCATTATTCCGATCTAATCCGCGTGGTTTCGCCCTCGAGAGCGCGCGCGCCTCGAGGCGGCAGACGGTGCGTCGCTTTGAAGACCAATTAAATCCGATCGAAGGACCGACTGCGACGGCTGTCCTGTGTCCAGGACTACACCGGGTGGGCGAACACAGGCTCGCGCGCGCGCGCGCCAATTGCCAATCGCCAATTATCCGCCGTTAATCGCCTACCGGCCGCGCGAAAGCCGGCGACACGAGTCCGCCTATCTTTCTTTCGCTCTTTCGTTCTTTCTGCCTTTGTTTTATGTCTTTTTCCCTCCCGTCACTCTCTCCTCCTCCTCCTCCTCCTCCTCCTCTTTCTCCTTTTCCTCTTCTCTCTTTCTCTACCACTCGATGGACACATGTGTTCGCCTGTTACTCCGCGTTCGGGATATCCGATCTTCGATCCGCGACGAGTTATTATCCCCCTTTTTTACGATTTTCTCTCTCTCTCTCTTTCTCTCTCTTTCTCTCCCTCCTTCCTTCCCATCCGAGTTTGAACATGACCTCGTGGAAGAGGAAGACTGGAATGGTGTAATTTTGCAACGAGCTCAGAACTTGATGTTCAATGAGACACGCGGAAACGAAATCCCACTATTTGTTTCGCAATGATGAAGGCGCAACGCGAGTGAGCTGTACGCAAAATATTTCATATTTTGTAGCCTCGGGAAACGAACGCTGTCAGATTACACGTCGTTTCGCCTCTTTCCCCAAGTGTGTAACCTCCTGCATTCCTTCCTGATTGACCTTACTCGATTAACAAGACCCGTTCGTTCGATTGCTCGTTAAACTCTCCTCCTCATTCTCCTCCCTCCCTTCCATGTACGTGAGATTCGTTTGTTTCTACCCAATATGTTGAGTTCTGCTGTATCTGTCTTTATTTTACGACTGTACTATATAGATGCATCGATGCACTATGCACCATCCTATGTAGCAACGTTTACTAATTGGCTGTAATAACGCTTGGGACGAGATCGGGTGTGGAAGGTGTATCGATCGATTTCGCCGTAAATTATCCTTTAGCGGCGCCCGCGGTTCATAATTCATAATTCACATTTGCGATTGTTCGACTGCACAAGCTCGTGTACGCATAGTATCTTCCAAAATTCTTCATCAAGATCTATGGTCGTCTATTGCTTTCACGTCATAGATCTTTTTTTACGTATTTGCAAAAAACAAAGAAACGACGTTCCTTTGGGGAACTTTCTCGAGCAATTTGGTCGAGGGAATCTTTGCGGAGATTAAAATGACTTGTTGCTTCAAAATTTATTTCGTCTTTGATTCAATCTCCGATCGATTGAAACAAAACGAGCCGAGTCCGGCCGGAGGATCGCGGTGTGGAGGGCCGCGCGCGGCGGAAAAGAGAAGAGAACAAGTCAGACAAAACGATGACTCCGAGGTTCCGCTTTTAATCGAGGCCGTATTTCCGCCGATGAAGGAATACCTGTCGGACATTTAAGGATCGATCCCACTTACGTAATTTAAGGGCCGAACTAAGTTCGATTCGCAGGTTATCCGATCGCTAAAAGGATTGAGCTAATTAATTAGCTAAGTAATTAAGCTGCATTAGGCGAAGTTGGCGGAGTCGTTCATTTGGCCGATATATGGTATAGTGGTATTTCAGCGAGGCTCATGACAGCGATAAGCATATCACTCGTGCGTGACAGTCGAAGCCACAACGTATATACACGTCGAAAGAGGGAAGTTTCGCATCGTCTTCCGTCGCCGAATGGCGTTTGTTCGGCGCGCGAAAGCTGAGCAGGGTTTAAGAGTCCAAACGTGCGAGAATATGAACGGGTGTTCCCGATCCGTGTAAGTTCGAGAGAGAAAGAAGACGGCGAGATTTGATTCGTGCCGATATAGTCTCGCTCGTCTTCTTCTTGATTACAATCCTACCTTTTGTGGGGCGATAGAGAAGAACACAATTTAATCGTCTATCGCGAAATTAGTTTTATCAGCCGTGTCGGTGCAATTGGCACTCTCGAGGAATCCACCGAATAAACGGAACGTTTATATAAAGTTTATTTACAGATATGGAGTTTATTTAAAGTTATTTAGGTAAAAGTATCAATGTCTTGATACGTATCTAACGCGGATCATTCTTATTGCTATGGCCTGTAAATACAAATGTTGAACTTTGAGGAGGGAAGGTATATATAATTATATACCTGTAGGTTAAAGTGTTATGTGTTTATACTTAAAGATCTAAACAAGAATGTCCAGGATTAAATACGCGTCCAGGCTAGTGCTTTTACGCTGTTGATACTTTTATAATAAGAAATATTCATTCGCTGGATGTTAATAATATATTTAAATCTACACATTCTTTTGTTTAAATTCAATTTAAATTTAAATTTAAATTTAAATTTAAATTGAATTAAATATAAATTTCATTTTAAATGCAGTAGATTGTTTCTATGAGAAGTTGAGTGTACTAATAAAATGCATATTTTTTTATTTGAAGAATATTTTATATTGGTGTAAGTAAACACGCTATTAGTAATCACCATACACAAATGAATATTTCTAATTTTTTATATATTCTTTTCTCTTAATGTACCTCAATTACGTCCTTCGACAATCTGAAAGTGAGGGAAGAGTTGAGGGAGAATCCCGCTGAGCCGGCGGGGAAACTTGAAATTCGAATTGCGGGCGCGAAAGTGTGTCAGAGCGAGAAAAAAAGTATCGATTGGTCGCGCCACGAAAAAGCGCTGCAGGTCGCGCTCGACCTTTGAAATCGGCGGATCGATAGCGCTCGCTCGGCCGCGATTGTTTCGCGACTGGTTTATTCATACGTGATGCCAAAAAGTTACTATTGGTCACGCTACAAACGTGCGCGCGGCCGGATCCGACCTCCCCTTTCAAATTAAACGATCGATACACGCGCTCCGGTCCGCTCTCGCTGGACGCGGAACACGTCATCGTTAATTCACCGCGTTTTATGGAGACGTCTGGCACCGCGGCGTCCATCTGCTGGGCCGTTCGCTGAATTAAAACTTTTGCTCTTTTTCGCGCTCACACACACCCATTCGATCGTAATTACAAGAGTATTCTCTCTCTTTTTCTCTCTTCTCCTCTTTTTCTCATCATACACACAGCCACACATTGTGCGACAGAGAACCATTTGCATTTACGTTTTTATTGAGTGGACGAGACGTTTTCTTTAATGTATGTGAGTGTGTGTGTGGGTGTGGATGTGTGGGTGTGTTGGGAAGCAGGAAGGACCCTCGAGTCGTTGGGACCATCGAGTTGTGTTTAATTTTCCAATTCCGGGATTAATGAACTCGCGGACTTTTACACTCAGGAATGGTGTTTGCATATATTCAATTTGTCGAGTTCCCATTGCAGAACTCTCGGCTCCGCGCATTTTAATATCCGAATCTTTCCCCCATGTAAATCCCGGGGCATTGAAATTTTCGAGAATCGTTATCCGCGCCGCAGCCTCCTCTTTATTTTTGCGAGGATTCGTACATCTCCTCCGTGTACTTCCCGACCATCCCGTCGATGTGACAGTCGTGTTTCCCAACGCGCGCGCGACGGAGGAATTCGTATTAAAATATTCTTTTGATTATACCGAGAGTGTATTGTTTCCAGCGCTCTATATCTAACCCAACCGATTTCCCTTATATATTTGAGGACTCTTTTGCGCGGCGCCAAAGTATGCCGTGAAAAATATCGTCGCGCGCGAGGAGTCCGCCCCGTCTTACTCCCTTATTCACATCGCGCCCGCGCGCCTCCCTGAGAATCTACCTCGCTATGTAAATTGCGTTTTATTCATAAAATCTCTGTTTGTTCCCGCGGGACTTCTTCCCCGAGACGGAACAAAATTCAATCTATCCGCCTATATTTCCTCTACGCCCCCTCTCCCTCTCTCTTCCTCTCTCGCGCTTTCCCTCCCCTTTCTCCCTTCCCTCTCACGGATCGTGTGTGGACTTCCACTTCTTCTTCTGCTCGTTCGTCTTCTTCCTTTTCTTCTTCGACCGAGAGCTTTGAACAGAGCGCGAAAGAGTGCTGTTCAGCGCAGTCACGTCCTAATGAGGTACGCAAATTACTCAATGGCAAGACGTCACCTCGACAGCTCCACGTGAACGCTCTTTGTCCGGTAACGAGACAAATGTAGGTTGTCCTTTCATTCTCGCTCTCGGTCGCAACCGAGTCTTTTTTCAAACTGTCGCCATGTGTGTGTATATGTGTGTGGGTCTGTGTGAATTATCGAACTGCGGGAAATCCGTTATGAGCCGCGGATGAGGCCTTCGGCTATTCTCCATGTTTGGGTCCTTGAACTCAAACTTCAAAACGACACTGGAGTTTTTGAACTTGTGGTCCTTCGAGTCTGAACCGAGCTCTTCGTCTTCTAATTATTGTATCTATTTATAATGAAGTGAAGATGACACGAAACTTCTCTCTCGCGTGTATATCGCGCGGATAATGTCTGCCACCGAAGTGCTGAGAGCCTCGGTGAATCAAGTAAGAAACGACTAGCTCTGAGAGCGCATCAGTGGCGAACAACTTGGCGCAACTTCCGCGGTGATGGTCGTCCCGCCGCGACCGGGGCGATTATCCGCGCACGTTCCGCGTTCCTCTAGCAAACGACGAGATCCTGCCGTCGCACCATGAATCGTCCTAATCGATTGCATCCGCTTTTTCAGGGATCAAAGAGACAAGAAAACGGCCAACCTTAAGATCGACATCAACGGCATGTAAAGAGGCGGAGGAGATCGGCCGGCCCGAGGAGACGGCAGGACGGCGCGCCCTCGTCGGACAGGACATCCACCGGAAGAAAAATGACGGAAGCGAGGGAAGGAGCCACGCAGGAAGCTGAGCTCGCAGACGCAATCGAGCGCTCATCAGCTCATCGGGAGAGAGAGAGAGAGAGAGAGAGAGAGAGAGAGAGAGAGAGAGAGAGAGAGAGAGAGAGAGAGAGAGAGAGAGAGAG